CTATCTATCTATCTATCTATCTATCTATCTATCTATCTATCTATCTACAAATAAAGGGTTCAATTGTTATTCTAGATAAGCACAGCCTTCCTGTTCATATTATGCCTTCATTTATTCTTAGTTCCTGAACATTTTATATAATAGGAAAGACGTTACAAAATTCTTTCAAATATATCTGGGTAATGAAAATATCAAGCTCTCTACTAATTGACTTTTTAACCCAAGAAAAATATGTATTAGGCAATATTAATTCTAAAAACCCCTCCTTGGGAAATTGCTTGTAATTTAGAAGCAGAGTGCTTAAGATGGTTATAAATTATTCATATTTTTTGCAGACATGAAAAATGTAACCCATATGACTGATGCATACTACCTTGCCAATGGAAATTAAACAGGATCATCATGAAGCAGCTGACATTTTTCACTGCTGTTGAATAAACCATCAAGGGCTGTTTGGTAGGGCTAAATGATTTGAAAGAAATGCTTTGGGCCATGTGCAAAAACAGGATCTCTCTGCTACTCATTAAAGCAGGTCATTTTGTTTTGTTTTGTTCAGGCTTCTTCAGGAGTTTAAAAAAGAGATGCTACTGTTTTGAGGAAACATTCATTAAATGAACATGACACTCTTAAAGCATTAGTATTCCACTGACAACTTAATCAAAAATATTCAGATATGCATAGAACTGTAAGAAATCTGCATGGCAAACTGCAGTCATAAACTGTTCACTTCATATAATCTCTTGGTCAATTTTAGCTTTGGACTTACTGTTTATGCATTACAGGGAGGTAGTATCAAACATTTCTATAGGAAGTAAGACTACAAAAGATTGTTGTTTTCCAAAATCTCATTGGGTCTGCCTAAGTACTTGGGTAACTCTAAAATAGCTCTTTAGAACCCTACTAAACATTTGCTATGAGAGGGCAAAGCAAAATATATTAACATTCAGTTAATCAGAATCAGTTAAACTTGCAGTTCAATATATAAATCTGAATTATGGCACGTATGCCACATAAATGGCATTCTCTTATTTATGTTAAGTTGGACATTTAAAAAAAAATTAACTAGAACCATTGTCCTCAGTCCACATATTCTTCAGCACTGTTTATTGATTATATTTGATAATGGATGATGTAATCATGTTTTATATCCAATTTCCTCCATGACGATTACTCAGAAATATCTTATTTGGATTAGATTTGGATAGTTATAGCTTTGTAATGATATTTGGCCTTGTGTGCATATTTAGTTCCTTGACAGCTATTAATTGAAATCAATATCATTCCCCCACCCCCCTTCATTTTTATTATTCTAACTTTGCTGAAGTCTTGACATTGCTTGGACAATCATTACCATGCAAACAGGCAGAAGCAATCAAGATTAAGGTTCATGGAATCCAGTTAGTAATAAAGGAAAATCTGAGGAAAGATGCAACTAGGAGAAAGCAGCACCAAATTGAGCATGCTCCTATTCAGGCAGAGACAGAAAGGAAGTGGACGTACTGTAGAAGCTGGCCATTACGTAGTTTTGACAGCGATCACCAGTAAATTCATTTGGGCACCTGAGAGTAAAAACAAAAACAAAAAGAAAGAGAAAACAGAGAAAAAGAAAAAGAGGCAATTATATGCTAAGAGGCTCCTTGAGTGACTGCAGCCAGAACTTTGATGAATTCATCTTCAGAAATTGGGCCTGTTTCTTATTGCCAAGAGGCTGAAAAGGTTTTGAGGGGGAAAAATGGCTTCACAAATACCAATTTAAGGAGGAAGGTGGTTAATTTTAGTAAATATAAAAGTATAACACCTGAAATGACAACTTGATATTATTGTCATTAGTCAGTGAACTTGAACACAATGTTTACACTAGCCAGCTCTTTTTTAAAAAAATTAAGGCTAAAGCCTCAGAGATTCCAGATAAGAATACTTGCAATGACAACCAGAACAATAAAGAACTGCTGCAATTACCAAAACAATAATAGGTGTTTGGTGCTGTCAAATCTGCACAGAATGGTCAAAGGCAAAAGAAAAAGATCCCATTTTAAGCTGAAGAGTGAAAACATCAAACGATAGCGATTTTGATTGCTGTAATTTGGGGAGAAAACAGATTTCATCTTATTTTAAAACATACTTTGTGGACTTTTTGGCAAATTATGGACTTTCATGGGTACAACTTCAGCACATCGTGGTCCAGAGAATCCATCCTGACACCTAAAGGCAAAAATGTGATCCACAATTTAAAAAGAGAAGAACCCGGGGGTAGAAAAAATCCTATTCTGTTTCTATGGCACATGAGATTCCTCTAAAGGACCTCGGAGAAAGAATTTAAGATAAAAATGGATGACAAAAGCATTGCATTTTTATTTGAACAAACTCTGTGTCACCAAAAGACAACCACAAATAACAAAACTAAAACATACAATCAAAGAAAGTAATGCTGATGACAGATTATCAGCTGATGTTTCTCTTTCTAGAATGCTGTACCATGAATTCATCAATGCTTTCAGCATTTATTTTGATGGCAAGATCAATTAAAGATATTATCTTTTTTTTCTACTGCCATATCCATTAACATTTGAAGAAATATGTAGAAACATGGACTTTTGTTATAGTTGGACTACAAAACTATCAAAGCAGACCATAACATTTTCAAATATAAAATATATGATGAAATACTAGAATGCAATATTTATTTATTTATTTATTTATTTATTATTTATTTATTTATTTATTATTTATTTATTTGGCTTTATTGATTTATCTTCCTTCCTTCCTTCCTTCCTTCCTACCACCAATAGCAGGAACAGTATAAAATCAGAGGCAAAAATAAATTTATTCTATTATTAGAATAAATATTATATTATTATTGGTCAATAGAAAAGCTGATTCCCAATATTATTTGGAATAAAGGAGACAAACTGGCCAAAAAGGACTTTAAGAAGAAACTCCAAGGCTTCAGCTAAACAAAAAAGATTCCAATCCATGCCTCAGGAAAAACAGTAATAAAAAGTCCTCTATAAAGATCAAATAGACTTACATTGAAACAAGCAATTCCTCAGAGAACGTAAACTCTTGGAAATTAAACAACAGGACTTGAATTTAGTTCAAGAGGAAACTGAGAGCCTCTATCATATTGGAGTGCTCTGCTCCCAAAATGTTCTCTCTTTGATTCTATCAAGGACTTTGCATTAGATGCATTCTCTAGATTCTTCAACCTCTACACCTAATTCTTCAGATGAAGTTCCACTACCGCCACGGTGAAAGAAATATCTATATGCTTCTCTTTTTCCTTGTTTCATGTGTTTAATTCTTTTGGGTCACTGTATATTAGACTTTTTTGTGTTGTGCGTAACATAGATTACCTCAAAGGGAATAGCATAATGTGCCTGTATTTATGTACATTTCAATTGATTACAGATAAGTCTCAGGACCAGAATCTGAACTGTAATAGATCTAAATCAAGAATTTAAATCAGGGCGTTATAAGATTTTACTAGTGTCTTTAATGCTTATAAAACAAAGAATGGTCAGCAAAACAATACATTTTTTAAAGAATTGTTAATTTAGTTCAGTTTCTAGGTAGAGCTAATTCCTTAGTTCAAGAGTCTTTAGTTTGATCTGATTTATACCAGTTGGCAGATTACAATATCATAGATCCCACAATTGTGGATATTCCACCATTAATTTGGTCTAATTAATTAATTAAGGCAAAACATGTGAAATTGGGACAATAGTACACATTCAGTCTGAATGGAGAACATTTAAAAAGGGATAATAATAATCTAGGAAAGAGAAATGGGGATAATGCTTTTTTAAAAAATGTTCTAATTGTACTGTCCTTTAATACTGCAGGTAATTTATAATCCTATAGGGAAGCATTTATTATTTCCTCTGTCCATTTTAGACAATCTCCGTCTAGTGGTTTTAATTAGCCAGCATAGTTAAAAGTCCATCATGCACCCAATTTTCCTGAAACAGCAAAGAATATTGTTCATATCCTTGCAGGAAAAGAAAGAGAGAGAAGAAAATCTCATCCATAAAATGCTATGTAAATTAATGGTGGGGATTATTGAATTTTCTTTAGGATACAAGTTCAAAGCCATTTGGCAAGGTTACAGTAGCCCACATTGGATTTGCCACAGAAAATGTGCTTTTTTTATTGCTATCACTGCTATAGCTATTGCTACAGAGTAGAAAAAAAAACCAGAAAAAAGAATTGAACTAGGTTTCATTGCTTTTGTTCAGCATTATTTTAAATCCAAGGGATGAAAAGAAATGTCATGCTGAAAGAGCGAAAAGGGGAAAAACTTGCTTGAAATTTATACCATACAAAAACACATTGTCCCTGGTTTATTAAAAAAATCTCTCATACATAATTGTGCTGGATTTATTTAAAAAGTCCTCTTGTTCCTGATTGCTACTAAATCTTCTTGCTGCCTGAATCTAATCCAAATTCAATTAAAGTTTTTTTTAAGCATTTTGCTTTTTTTAAACTTTCCCAATCTCTATTAAAAAATCTAAAAAAAATAATGGATTATTCCTTTTCCCCCTTCTTGCATAAAGAGAAAAATGCAACTATTTGAAAATTCAATTAAGTAATACAGATGCATGAGTCACAGGTTACTGTTTTTATGAATGGAGTTAAAAGGATACCACATTTTTTTTTCATGCTTTTAACATCAAAGGATCATTTTCTCTCAAATATGTTTTTTTAAGTCTTGTATAGTAGTCACAGTCTGCTTGAAGTATACCCTGAGAAAAATAGTATAGTATTTAAGGCACTTTGAAACTATTTCACTGAAGTACAGCAAATGTTATTGGACTGTACGTGCCAAACATATTTTTTTTCAGAAGGGCTTCATCAAATCAGAGTTGCTAAGGTTTTTAAAACTCTATTTTATCACTGATTTAGCTTGTGAAAGTTTTAGAAAAGCCTTATTAGTAAATAAACCAGAATGGCCTATAAAAAATGTGCCCTGTTTCAGGAATACCAGTACCAAAAGTTCCTTTTAGCACCACTATTCATGGATCCCGGTAATTGGTGGGCATGAATTAATTTTTCAAAAACACAAAACAAACCGTATTCTCTCTTCCTAACCCAACCAGAACTCCACTTTCAAACTCTGATTATTTCTGAAAATAGCAAAACGTGGTTTGGTTAAAGTTATAAAAGCAAGAGTGACTATCACAAACAACACTGTAGCAGTGTTGATTACACATTGAGTACATGTTTAAAATTAAGACCTCCCAACACTGCATTCATTATTCTCTATGCTTGAAGACTAAGGGTGACATTACCAAAACAATGACACGATTATGGCTGTGTGATATGAATTAGAATTAGAGTTTTCAGTTGTTAGGAATTTTTCTCCAATGATATTTTTACCTTGGGCTTAGTATTAGATATATTACTTTGGTGGCCATAAAGACGTTTGAATCCCAAGTTGGCAGCTAAACAGAGAATGTTTGATAATAGAAAAATAGTCTGAAATCTTATGGTTTGCATTTCAGTTTAAGGAAATATTGCTTTGCTTTTCAAAAAGCAAATCATATATAATAAATATGAATGTATGTTTAAAGCAAAAACAGAAATATCTAAATGCTTCCTCTCTAGGACAAATTGTATCAAAACACTGTACAGGTAGTTTTCAATTTACGGCCACAATTGAGCCCAAATTTTATGTTGCTGAGAAATTTGCTAAGTGAGTCTTCTCTCCACATTTGTTAAATCGGGTTTCCCCATTGACTTTGCTTGTCAGAAGTTTGCAAAAGATGATCACATGACTTGGGACACTGCAACCATCATATATTTGAGCCAGTTGTCAAGCATCTGAATATAAATCAGGTGACTATGGGGATGTGGCAATGATCATAAGTGTGAAAATTGTCATGGATTACTTTTTTCAGGGCTGTTGTAACTTCGAACCATCACTAAATGAACTGTTGTAAGTCGAGGACTACCTGTATTTTTAAGTCTGATATGAATATACCACTGATTATTTGGATTTCGTATGTAATGCTGTACTTTATGTGGCAAAGCTGGACTGAAGTTACTCTTCAGTGTGGTCTTTATAACACTTCACTGGTCAAATTTGTTTTCCAGTCTGAACATTTTAACTAGGGTTGGGATGACATTTTATCTGAATGAAATTGATCTTTCTGCTATATCCATTCTTGCATATACTTATATCAGGACTTGAACGTTATTATGAGCAATACAGTAGAAGTGGTATGAAATGTAAAGCCCTTGATAATTTCCAGTTGTGCTCAAATACATTCTTTGGCTATTTGAAAACAAAAGAATGTAAGAATATCCATTAAGCAGTAATTGTATTCTTACTTTGGTATGAGGCTTATAATATGAATGTTAAACAGATGCATTTAGATATTTTAAAAATACAGCAAAAGTTAAATCAGGATTACAGAGGAAAGGGGATATGGCACTATAGTACTAAGGTTAGTTAAACTGTGGGATCTGTAGGAAACTTCTAGCTTCTAAACAAAGAAATATAATATTTTAGCATTTTCCCCTCTCAGTTGCATTTCATAAAGCAATCATAAAAATAAGCCATCTTTATGCAATGCAGCCAAAATATAAGACATTTCAGAATTCAATCCAATTAATTGTCTAATTGTTCACAGACTATGTGCTTATGTTGCAATGTTTCTGGAACAACTTTCAGTTGAAAAATATTGGAAAGTCAGTTGTGGCAGCCCTATCACAATGATAAGCTATCACAGGTCATTGATCAAGCAAATATTATGGAATGATTTCTGAATGTCTTGTTTTAATGGAAGAGAGAAAGCATATGTATGTGTATATTTCATATTTGTATTTTGTAAATGGTCTTTTAATTTAAAACATGATTTTTTCTTTCCAAACAAGTGCATAAATAACAATATTAAAGTTTTTGAATGCTTTTATCATATGAACAATATCATCTATCAAACCAAAGATTGATTTTGTGTAGTCTTTTAAACTGATTCACTCCAGCTATGTTGACTTATGGATCGGAAAATTTTTATGAAATGCAGTCATTGGCCATGTCAACAGAGTATGATTGTCCAATACATCTGGAACAAAATTGGGCACCAAACTAGTGGTCCTTTTAATATATTGAGGAAATTTTTTTTTGAAAAAAAGTGATGTTTTTGTGTCCAACAGATTGTTATTCCTTTTTTGGCTAAAGAATTTTATATATGGATTTAATCTAATTTAAATCATATACACAATAGTATCTGCATGTTTTGGAAACATGGGAAATAACTTGGGAGGGTGTTGAACTCTTATTTTGAAGGATAAAAAAATGCTGTCATCAGTTCATAACATATATTCTTTAGGTTAAACAGTGTTACCATATGAAACATGCATTAAAGCAATAAATTCTGTAGCATCACTGGAAAGTTTCTCGTACTTGCATAAATATCTTGGGTTTGGAAGATCTTTGACCATGAAGCATTCACCCCCATTTACACAGTAGCCTTTCTTATCCACATCACATCTTGTGAGATGACTTGTCCCAGTAGTAGATGTAGAAGTGGCTAGAAGAAACAATGGAAATAGAAAGGGACAAATCTCAGTATGCATGTACTCAAAAGTAAAAGAGTTAACATTATTAGTGTTAGCATTTTTATGACATGTAACAAATATTCAGTACCTTAGTTGAAAAGAGAAAAACAAAAATCACTTTGTCCAAAGTATCCTGGGGGTTACCATACAATGTCTGAGTCAATACGCATTTTCCTGCTCGTGAAATGGGACAATTCACCACAGAAAACTCTCCATAGCCAACTTGCCATGGCCATCGTGCCATGGTCAACTCACAGTGGGACAACTTGCTATGGCCAACTCACTGTGGTACAACTTACCACAGGATAATTCAACAATTCAATTTAATTATTTGAAATAATTAAGACATTATTTTAAATTTTTGTTATTCACATTTCATTCTCTCCCTCCTTTGGCATCCTTTAATGATTCTATTTCACCATTCTTCGATATTAGTGTAACTCTTATCCTGTGGTGAGTCATCATCCCACAGCAAGTTGGCCCTGGCAAGTTGACCCTGGTGAGTTGGCCATAGTGAATTGTCCTAGACCCTCTTGGTCATACTACAATATTTTAGAATTGATCTTTGTGACACTGTAAGATGCATAAAGGAGTGAAGAAAGGCAAGTCTCCTGCTCCTGGCATTATATTTTATTACACTTTATATAGCTCCTTATAAAAAATATTTGATGAACAGAGTACAGAAACATGCAAAAAGTAATACAAGTAGCATACAATTCTACATATTCACAATAAAACAAAACTTTCTAATATTCACACATACATATCAACCATATTATTTCCTTTTGAAATAAGTAACATTTTGCAAAGTTCATAAAGAGAGCAAGAAATAGTAAACAAAAGAAACGGAAGGATGATAGGGGGGGGAGAGAATATAGCTACAATGTATCTTGTTTTCCAAGTCCTCTTAGTACTTCACCATAATTTTCTTTGTTTGCAAACTATCCTTGTTTCTATCTATATCCATACCCCCCTTTGTATATTGCCATTTGTTGTTTAATCTTCTGGCCTCTTTCTTTTTTGAGGATCTCATCAATTTCATCCAATCAAAACTTTTTCAAATCTTCCACTTCCTCTCAAACTATTCATTCTTCATATATTTGTTTTGCAATTCTATTATCATTTCTGCTCTTTGTAGACCACACCACATTTTTTTCAAACATGTTATTCCGAATTAATCTATTTTTGCCATTAACTGTAACAAGTTTACATGTTACCACCTAGCTAAAGGTAAAGATTCCCCTTGCATAGGCGTGCTAGTCATTTCCATCTCTAGGGGGCGGTGCTCATCTCCATTACAAAGCTGAAGAGCCAGCGCTGTCCAAAGACATCTCTGTGGTCATGTGGCTGGCATGACTAAATGCCGAAGGCACACGGAACCAGTACAAAAAAAAACCTGAAACCCACCACTGGAGAAGAGTGGTATGTTGGACGTGTTACAGCATCAGCTATTAGCATCTTATGTTCTTCAACCTTTTGGCTTTAACACCAGCATTTAGCTTTAAAGCAGGGGTCTATTCTTTGATTGATAATCATAAGCATTAGTTTGCTATCATCTGAAATGCAGCCATACACATGAAATACAGAGAACTCTCACCCTTAACCAAGCAAATCAAAGTCAAACTGAATAACAATGCATCCGTCTGCCTTAAACCCTATTTGCTCATAACTACTTTTCCACATCTAGTTCTTTCTTGCCTTAATCTGCTAACATTTAATCAATTCAATCAATTAATTTAATGACTTTTTATAGATGCTTCAATCCAAAAGAAAAATAACAGTTGGTAGAGCTGTCAAAACCAATCATTATTCTTTGCTTTCCTTGCAATTTAGCCCATGCTAATAATTTCAGGATTTAATCAGCTCTGCAATTTCCAGGGTGAAGGTAGCTTTTTCTCTTCTCTTCTCCTCTCCGATTTTCAAACCCTCCGGAGATATAGACTCCAGGGTAGGACACCTAAATAACTCCACATCTTAGCTCCATCATATGGAATTCTGGGTTAATAACTAATTGCAGAATCATGACTTAAACCAATAATTAGACATAGCCATAATTTATAAACTGGTTTATCAGGGTTTTCTGATAGAAATATTTACTGCATATTCAATTCTAGAATCATATAAGAATTTTATCTATTAATGCTTCTTCTTTTCCCCTCTATCATGTTTTCTTCTTAAATCAGACTATTACTCTAGACGAGACACCCTGCAGTTCTGAAGCAAATGCATTAATTTGAAAAGAAATGCAATACTGTCTGCTTGAGATCCTGTAGACAAAGTTTATTACTGCCACAAAGGCTAATGGAATGCTTTAAATTGAATTACAAGGATGACTGTAGAAGAATTAAGCTTAAAGCTGTCTATAACTGATGTAGCCATCTTATTTGGCACTTTTTCTCTGAGCAAATGTGAGATCAAAAGTAATCCACCTGGAATGCAAAAACAAAAAACAAAAACAAACAGATTTTTTTGGGTTGAAATAAATTGTGGGCCAGTCTGAACCATGGACAAAAAGGCTTAACATTTGTTCTTTTGAGGAATCTCTAAAGAATAATTTTAAAAAATGGGGAAATATTATTTATCTGTTTGTTGATATGATGCAGTAGCTTCTCCCAACTTGGGTGTTTTCAGAAATGTGAACGTCAACTTCTAAAATTTCTTGGCTCATTTTGTTATTAGTGAGAATTCTGGGAAATGAGATTCAACACATTGAAGAGCAACCAGATATGGGAAGGTATCTTGTTTATTAATGGAAGTTCTCTAGATAGACCACAGAGGAAAAAAATACTAATGGAATAGAAACTGTGGTAATGAAAAACAACAACAAAGACAATGAAGTTGCAGAAATGCTTTGATGAAAAAAGGTAGAGAAAAAACATTCTTGGATGAATAAAGCAGTCTTCATGTGGTATTGAAAATGCCACAAGAAGGCACCACATCAAGGGGAAACTTGTGTGTGTGTGTGTATGTATATATGTACACACACACACACACACACACACACACACACACACTGCTAGGATGCTACTATGAAGGTTCTATCTTGAGTGGCCATCCTTATAACTTTAGTTGATAAGAATGCACAGAAATTTAACTCGGAATACAATTGCACAGATGTGTAGAATACAGGAAAGAACATGACTTTTCTGATTTACAATTGTCTAAAAGAGATGGTCTGTAACTTAGTCCAGACATTAGTGAATTTTCTTATTAAAAAAACAAACCTGTTCTATCTGTTTTAAAGAAGGTAGTAGCCTACTTACTTCTTAAGAATCCAACTATTTCTGGGTTCAACAGTTCTAGATAATTTTTATTAAATCTTCAATGTCCACCTTTTGGGAAAAGTTGTGGAGAAGGTGGTTGGACTGCAGCAAACTGAATTAAACATGAATTCTATATCCCATCACAATCTCCAATAAAACCATGGAATTAAATCCATATGTCAATAAATTTAAATATCTCCATGTTACCTGCTTGGCAAAAAATTAGATTTTAATATTCCCCAGATTGTCATCAGCTTTTTCCAGTTTACCCTGAACTGCAGTTAACATATTTTAAAACTCTATTAAATACCTTAAAAATAAGACCTTGTCTGATTCCAAAGCTTAGGAGCCAAATCCTGGACAGGTTTTCGCTATGAAAGGGCTGAGATGATAGCATAAAATTGAAAGTACCTTTGAGACTGCATAAGTTTCAGAAGCCAGAAATATATAGGAAATAAGAGGGAAAAAAGAAAGTGAGAGCTCTGAAGACTAAAACTACAAGGGCTCTTGTTCTTCCAAGGAGCTGAGAAAAGCCTCTTGTTTGTTCTGATGTTCTGTTTACAGATAATCCTCACCTTACAACCACAATTGAGCCCCAAATTTATGTTGCTAAGTGAAACACTTGTCCAGTGAATTTTGCCTCATTTTACAACGTGACTTGCTACAGTTGTTAAGTGAATCACTTGCCATGTGATTGTTAAGTGAATCTGGCTTTCCCATTGACTTTGCTGCTTTGGTCGCCAGAAAATCTGATCACATGACCCTGAGACACTGCAATCATTATAAATATGAACCAGTTGTCAAGCATCTGAATGTAAATCATTTGACCATGGGGATGCTGCCCAACGGTTGTAAGTGTGAAAAATGGTCATAAGTCACTTTTTTCAGCGCTGTTGTAACTCTGAATGGTCACTAAATGAACTATTGTAAGTTAGGGACTATCTGTACAGTGATATCTTTATTAATTTTAGTTGACCAGTTAAGGCCCTACCTATCTGGAGGAGAGAGGATGATCTAATAAATAGCCCAGGTCTTATGTACAAAGTGGCTTTGAGATACTCTGCACTTTAAAAATGCAAAGGGACATTTCTTTATTAATTCTTTGGCAAGACTTTATTCTTTTGCAAGAAAGCAATTGATGGCAAGTCTCCTACATCTGTACAATACTACTCTGAATATGCTAGACTGAAATTAGAATTCACTGGATTATGGTGTTGGTTTTTTAGAGTCAAATGTTTTGCAATAATTACTTATTTGAAATTGTACCAGCTTTATGGCAGTTCCAAATTATGACGCCTTCTACTATTAGTAAAAAAAAAAGGACTTTGCTTGGGAAAAGACCACAGAAATTCATACCAGGTATTATCCATCTTTACAAAATCAATGTCTCTTTTATCAAAATGTATACTATTAATGCATCATTGTGATGCATGAAACAGTACACTAATCTGAGGTAATATTTACTCTGCTACATATATAAAAGTGGTATCAATAAACAGTACATCAGCAAAGAATGATAAAAAATAAGGACCATAGTTTCATTTGACATAGATACCAAGTAATCACAATTACGTTTGGCTTTTCATTTCACATAATAATTCAATCCATCTGTTCAAAGGCACAACTGAAGTATTTTTTCCTAGAAAATAAAACTTTTAGGGAAACAAAACTTCACAATAAATCAAATTTAGATTCTTGTTCTTAGTAGT